CATTTAGTATAACATTAGCTGTAGATTTGAAACCTATAGCTTTTTTATATTCATGCATCATACGGAAGTCTATTCTTTCTCTTGATTTTTAAATGAGAGCATTGATGAGTAAGACTCTCAAAGGAATACTGTTGCTGTATTGCAAAGCTTCTGACACATTGTATTTGCATTTTCAATTAATTCTAGAAAAATTTTAATTTCCTCTCCAATTTTATCAGAGACCTACTAGTTATTCAAGAGTGTATTGGTCAATCTCCATTTTTTCTGGTATTATTTTATGTTTTTCTCTTGTTATCAATTTTTATTGTTTTATTCCATGATGATCTGGTGAGATACAGTAAATTGTTTTAATTCTTTGTTTAAATGTTTCTTAATAGCCTAACATGTGATTTATTTTAGAAGAGAGGGTTGCATGGGCTCCTGAGAAGAATATGTATTCTGCAGCTGTTAGTTGAAATATCCTGTAAATGTCTGTTCAGTCCATTTGGTCTACAGTGCAGATTAATTTAATAGTTTCTTTGTTGATTTGCAAGTCTGGATAATCCATTGGTTGCTGGAAGTGGAGGGCTGGAGGAACACACTATTATAATATCAGGGCATATCTGTCCTTTTATGCTCGTTGGTGTTTATGAAACTGGGGACCCCAAACTTTGGTGGAAGTTTTTTTTTAATATTTGGTAAATATATATTTTCTTGATAGGTTTAACACTGACTTTCTCTCCTCAAAATACCTTTCGGTCTTTATGTCTACTTCATCAGTTATCAGAATCTCCACGGCAGCTCACATGTTTGGCTTCCATTTACTTGGTAAATTGACTTCTTTTTTTTTTCTCTCTTTTAATTTATACTATATATTTAAGGCATCTCTGGTGTCTTAGTTAGGGTTTCCATTGCTGCAATAAAACACCATGACCAAAAAGCAAGTTGGAGAGGAAAGGGTTTATTTGGCTCACATTTCCACATTGCTGTCCATCACTGAAGGAAGTCAGGACAGGAACTCAAATAGGGCAGGAACCTGGAGGCAGGAGCTGATGCAGAGGCCATGGAGAGGAGCTTACTGGCTTGCTCAGCCTGCTTTATAGAACCTAGGGTCACCAGCCCAGGAATGGTACCACCCACAATGGCCTGGGCCCTCCCTCATCAATCACTAACCAAGAAAATGCCCTACAGCCAGATCTTATGGAGGCATTTTCTCAATTGAGGTTCCCTCCTCTCGGGTGACTATAGTTTGTGTCAAATTGACATAAATCTAGCCAGCACAACTGACCCCTTGTCAACTATCAAGTTCGGCTGTCAGCACAAGGTACAACCTCAGCCACTTCTGGAACCCTGAGGAAACACTTCCCAGAAGATTTCACCTCGGTGATGCAGGTCTCTTCTTAACCACTACTAATTTCTTCGCTCCAGTGATCCAGCATCAATTGTCCCAGTAACGTGAAGGTTTCACCTCAGTCAGTCTCCTGTTGGTCATGGCTGACTCTTCAGTCTCAGCTAACCAGAATGGCAGAACCTTAATTTAAAATAGCAAACAGTCCTGATGGAATCATTGAACTTTCTTCTGATACTTCAGAAGTCAGGCCTCCTTCTTCTGCTCTACTCTCAACATTCTGTCTCCCAAGCTCCACTTAGCTCTCAAGACTCAAAAGCTTTTCTAGCCCCAAGTTCCAAAGTCCTTTCACTTTTTGTTTTGTTTTGTTTTTTCGAGACAGAGTTTCTCTGGGTAGCTTTGTGCCTTTCCTGGAACTCACTTTGTAGACCAGGCTGGCCTCGAACTCACAGAGATCTGCCTGCTTCTGCCTCCCGAGTGCTGGGATTAAATGTGTGAGCCACGACCACCCGGCTTTCTTTCTTTCTTTCTTTCTTTCTTTCTTTTTTTTTTTTTTAACGAAAGGGCCCTGCACTTAGCTAGGCAAGTGCTCTACCACTGAGCTAAATCCCCCACCACCAAAGCCCTTTCACAGTCCTCCCCAAAACATGGTCAGTTCTATCACAGCAATACTCTACAATGCCGTTACCAACTTCTGGGTTACTTAAAAGCCTTAATGCAAAGTAAATAATTAGTATACTAAATTTAGGGACTAATGATGCTTATGTTGTTTAGTACCAGCACAATCCATTTTTGAATATTTTCAGTTCATGGTTGGTTGACAAAGAACCTACATTACCTAATTGCACCTAACTTTTTTTTCCCTGTTTGACATTTATAGAATGGTACAAAAGTTCTTATGATGGTTTTTTATTTTCTTTCCATTTCAACAAAGTGGTGCCCAAAGGCCACCAATATCATAATTGACTGACGTAGTTATCCAAAGAGCATATTGCCAAGCTTTATTCATACCTGTAGAACCAGATGTCCCAGAACTAGCAATTTTGGCATATAAAACAAAGCTGTGAATCACTCCTTATGAAACTGCAAAAGCTATTCTTAAAATCAAAAGCTGTACAATCTTTTCATTTTGTTCTTTGCACTGGGAAATTATTGCTGATTTCCAACCGTCAGTCAGCCTTCTGGGAAAATAGCTCTTTCCATGGTCATGGGCTGCTGGAACTTTCTCCTGGATATTTCTTTCACAGTATTTGCCTTTTTCTATTCAGTCGTCCCCAAGGTTTCTAGACTCTCAAACATTTTCATTGCAGACATCCTCTTAGCAACTAGTCATCACCCACTGCCACCATTAAGGATTTTGAATTCCGCTAGACTCCAAATGGATAGAGGGAGGCAGTGGGCAACCATCTATAGCAACACAGCACACACTTTTTTCCCACAATGCTCTTTAAAGACAAATAAGCATGGATGAGAGACAATGAGAAGAGGAAAAAGGAGTATGGTTTTTCATCAACTGGGAAACCATACACAAAGGAGTCTTGAGACGATGGTTGCCTAACTAGTGAATACAAATCATGTTTGGCCATGGAGTTCCAGGTTATTTGGCAGCAGCCATAGAATCCCACCTTTCATGATAGTTCAAGAGCCTGCATTTTAATTGCTCACATCACCACTTCCACTCAGGTGGATCTTTACATACAGATCCACCTTATGTCAGTCTTAGATCGGACTGACATTTTGAGTTCAGCATGTTGTGTGAATCAACTCATCTGCTTTCCCTTGAAAGAGGACGAGCCATGGGTGAGCAGAATCATTTCTATACTTGGATTCCTGAAAGGTCAAGACTTGCAGTCACTGGACCCCAGTGCCAGCTGCAGCAGCTTTTCAGCAGGTTTTAGAAGGGGTATAATTACCAGGTATTTCATGCAGAGAATTGCTATTGTAAACTAAAGATAATACCCTATGTAATCATGAATCATAGGAAAGTCCTTGTGAGATAACTGAGTTCCATTCCTATGGGTACCTAAGCTGGATGGAGAATTTTCCTGTTAACAAGTCAATACTCTCTCTCTCTCTCTCTCTCTCTCTCTCTCTCTCTCTCTCTCTCTCTCTCTCTCATAAAACCCATTTATTATTTATAAGGACTAATAAATAGCCACCCCAGAAATAAGGGGAATATCTGGGCACTGCTTGGAAGGGCAGGCAGGCCAATGAGAATATGTGTGTAAAACATCAAGAAAGAGCTGGGAGACGGCTCAGTAGATAAGTCACTTGCTATGCAAGCATGCACAGCAGAGTTTGGATCCCCAGAACCCACATAAGACCAGGACAGGCATGACAGCCCATGCCATCCTAGCAGGAAAGCAGAGACATGGGATTTTCCAGGACTAGCCAGTAGCGGCAAGCTCTGGGTTCAGTGAAAGACCTTCTCTAAATTAATACAGTGGAAAGCTCTCAAGAAAAACACTCAAGGTGAACTTCAGGCCTCTGAACACTTGTACACACACATAATCACATATGTGAATATACATATAACATACATACCACACATACATACATCAAAATATTTTTATGAGAACTTGGCCTTATTATACACACTTGCAGAACTAAGAAGAGTGAGGGGAAAGCTGGTGAAAGTCATTCCAAAGCTTTCCTCAAAAGGAAGAAATATGTAAATGCATTATGAATGATTAATCAGTTTATCTTTGGTGGGGGGGTGCTAAGGGAAAGATGAATTGGGGGTATCGTTGCTATTGGAGATATGTGTGGTTCTCTGCTGTTTTTGTGTGTCTTAGTTGGAGTTTCTGTTGATGTAATAAAACACCGTGGCCTAAAGCAGACTGTACAGGATGTACAAGTTGGGGAGAAGCATAAGATCAAATTCACCCCTAGGCTAAACCACCCAAAACTGATTTTGGAAGCAATAACAAGGAGCTCGCTCACTCTCTAGCCCTGGCTGGCCTGGAATTCGGTAACCCTCTTGCCCCAGTCTCAGGAACATTGGGATTATAGATGTGAGCTGAAGTTTTGAAGGCTCTTGGGTTATTATAAAGCATAGCTCTAAAATAGGGAGCCCCGCGGTGTGCTTAGGGTCATCTCGAAGCAGGAGGCAATAAGTCAGTCCAGATGTGTAGGATGCATCTTAATAACACCAGGGAAGACTAGTGCTCTCACCTCCAGTTTGGAATGATAAGGACAGGCCCTGGACCCTACCGCCTGTGTTTCTGTTCATTGACATACGGCTCTGGCGTTCAACCAGATGGGCATGGAACCCATTGATTACTGCTGTATCTGCAGATATAGGCTAGAATATGCTCTCAATAAGCAGCCTTATGAGCAACTAAACCTCATCCAACACAGCAGTAAAGGCCGTGGCTAACTTCCAGGTGACCCAGTGTTATTTTTAATTCTAGCATCGGATCACTGATCGGCAATTCTGCTTCTGACCAGTGGGTAGAGAAGAGGCGTCTGGACAGGCTCGGGTTGGCTGCCGGGAAATCGCAGGACCTACGGGTACCTCCGCAGGCCAGCCCCCATTCACCAGACACTTTCCCTAACAAGGTAGCGCTCGGGATCGGCCCTGGGTGACGTCAACCCCGTGGTCCCACCCACCGGAGGCGTGTCCTGTCATTCACGGGCGCACACTAGTCGCTCCAGTTTCCCGAAGACCCGGCGCAGACTCCAAGCCCTCACTTCCTCCTTGGCTTCGCCCAGCTCGCTCCTGGGGGCGGGGCGAAGGACGGAGGGAGGGCGGTGCTGCGCCTGCGCGGAGAGGCTTCCAGGGTCTGGGACGCGGTGCGCCGATCTAAGTGACTGGAGGCAAGATGCAGGTGAGCGTGGCGTGGTCGGGACCCCAAGGCTGGGGTCGTTTGGTCTGGTGGGCTCGCGCCAGACCTGGAACCAGGTCTACACGAATTGCCCCGGTTCGGCAGACTGCGGTGAGGCCGCGCAAAAAGAGCCTGCGCACGCGCACTGCGAGAGGGCGGGTGTAGTCTCGCCAGACTCCGGGCTGGGTGCTCCTGCTCGGGTGTGTCCTGCCCAAATCTCTGTCCTTTGGGGGCCCCTGAGCCTGGGGTCGTCCTCTTCTAGGTCTGATGAAGGCCTCGACTCTTCTGCCATCTAGAGTCGACTCTTTACCCAACGCTAGTGTTTCTGGGGGCGCTTTCTGGTTTCCAGAGCTGAGCCCAGGGCCAACTACAAGAGTTAATTTCCGAAATGAAGAAAATCAGAACCTCTGAGTTATTGTTTTTTTTTTTTTTTATTCTTCTCTTTCTGAGCTGGAATTTGCTAATAGTATTTGACAAAAATTCAAAGAAAGTGCTAGAAAACGCCATAGAAATTACAATCTTTTAAGAGCAAAAATCTGTGACGGCCGCATTTGTCACTGTCCAAGGACTTAGCCCTTCTGTGTCGCTGTGTTTAAGAATTCTGAAGAGTCTGGATGGAGGGTAGATGGGGCATACCGTTGTGGGCTCCGGCATTGGGGACTGGAGGGGCTTGCCGTCTATTCACCCAGCAAGCCCACCACAAGCCAGGTGCCCCTGGAAGGTAAAGGGAAAGTTGAGGAACTTCTCTGAACCCCTCTGCATTGTTGATTCTTCAGGTCCCTACTTAAAAATGTCACTCTTCACTTTCCCTGACTACCTTGATAAAAGGAAACTTCACCTTTCTTGTGATCTGTCTCAGCCAGATTGTGACGCAGAAGTGAGGTTGGAGCCTGGTTGTCCCACAGTCCTTCCCTTGAGTTCATAAAATGAACCAAGTTCTGAGCCCTGTTATCAGTGTTCTGTTAAACCGTGCCAACCCAGAATAATGGGGCATCTGAGTTCCAGGTCTGAGACCACTTTGATCCTAGTCACTTTGGCTAACTGTTCCTTATGGCAGTATCAACTCCCATCCAAGTACTAATCAGACCCACCCTACTAAGCTTCCTACCCGAGAAGATGGGGTAGGTTCAGGGTGGTATGGTCAGACATGGCAATGTCTTTCTGAGTGCCATACCTCACTGCACTTGGGAGGCAAGAGTTGGCTCAGCTGAAGGGAAATGCCTAGCATTTAGCCATCATGAGTGACTTGCGGGGTGGGGTCTGCTCTCCAGATTTATCCTTTAGACTCGATAAACTTTAGAGAAATCTGTCAGCCTAGCCTCCTCCTCTCCAAGTATACAGCAGCCTCTCAAGACTGAAGCTCAGAATGTCACAGCGTCTTCGCTCTGGGACCTTTGCGTTTGTTGGTCCCTCTGCCTGAAATGTTATTTTCTTTGTCTCCACTTTCCTCTTGTTGGGAGAGGGGAGCCCGGCTTCCCTTAAAGAGACATTCTCAGCACTCCCGAGAGAAAGGTAAAAGTTCTTTAATTAGTGTATAGCTGTAGCCTGTTGGCTCAGAGAGGCCCAGCTTCAAGCAGAAATCTTTCATGGTTTGTATAGGGTTAGGCATTGTCATAGTCTTGTGATCATCTCAGGGTGGTCTTTTTGCTGAAGCTGAAATTTGCAGGTTAAGACAGAACTTGCTGTCTAAGTGGGTGTTGGTGGTGGTCACTTCTGAAGGAAGGAGAACAGATAGATGTGAACCCCCTTTACAAACAGCATAAGCCAGTGTCTTAGTCAGGGTTATGTATTGCTGTGATGACATGCCATTGACCAAAAGCAACTTGGGGAGGAAGGGGTTTATTTGGCGTACACTTCTACGTCATAATCCATCACTGAAGGAAATCAGGGCAGAAATTCAAACAGGACAGAATCCTGGAGGCAGGAGCTGAT